GGGGGGGGTCCTTAGCCTGGTTGGGGGATGTGTACAGTAAATGGGGCGCCAGTCACTTGAAGGACTTTTAGAAGCTTTATTGTAGAACAATCAGAACTGGGAGAGAGGGTAGAGGGCTTCAGACATCCATAGCAAACATAGACTACAGACCCAGTGGGCGGAGTCACCCTCCGGGTCCGAGACGCCAGAGAGGTACGTATCCTGGATCTATTACAACACCTTAGTAGAGCAGAAGATGACACTGCGCAGCAGATCCACAGCTGCATGGAGGATAAGCATGAGATCTTCCCCGGGAGAGACACCACACTTGTTCCTGAGGTCCATGCCATCCTGACCTTCATGGCACCTCCAGAAATCATAGGGCTCCTCCTCTTCTCCTTCCCAGATAGTTCCAGACCCCTCCTGGGTCCACATCTGGCCTCCTCCAGGCCTAAGGCCAAGTCAGCTTCTCCAACTGTGTACATCATACCCCCAGGCTAAGCCCGGGGACTGCCCTCAGAACAAGGCAATTCCTAAGTATTTATGAACTTGCCCAGCATGCACTACTGCAAGGTGACCAGATTTTTTTAATGAAATTCGTGATTTTTTTTTAGCTTCTGACAATCTCCCGGCTTCCCCACTAATAGCGTATCTTCTCAGCAGCTGCATACAGCATGCGCTGGTTTAAATAGTAACCAGCACAGGCTGCAGAGCCCACCCTAGACCCTCCTCAGCCCCCCTGAGACCCTGTGGAGCCCACCATAGACCTTGTAGAGCCCACCCTAGAACCTGCAAAGCACCCCTGAGACCCTGCAGAGCCCACCACAGGTCCTGCAAAGCACCCCTGAGACCCTGCAAAGCCCACTATAGATCCCATCATAGACCCCACATGCCCGACTAACTCAACTGGAATCTGGACCCGCCCCTCAGAGATTCGGACCCGCTCCCCAACGGGGATCCAGACCCGCCCCCTCCTGCTGCTGCTCCTCCTCCTCACCTCTGCCTCCTCCTGATCGATTAGGCAGCCAAGGCTTGTCGGTGGTATAACATTTTTTTATTTTGTTTAATTTCATGTTCCCGGGGACATTTCCGGGGATGGGCTCCTCAATCCGGGAACTGTCCCTGGAAATCGGGGACAAATGGTGACCCTATACTACTGGCCATGAAACCCCCAGTGATTGGCTGAAGAGGTATAGACACTCCTATTGTTCTCTCAATGGTGGCCTCACTCTGTGGCAAGGTTAAATCAAAAATGCAGGTAGGTGCAATCAGTGCCGCCATCAGATCGGGTATGGCCGATACCCATGTGATGGGCCCGGGCAGCCTGGGGGGCCTTGCCCCTTAACATGGGTATTGGGCATACCAGTGGCAGAGGTTACAGGGGAGGAGGTGGAGGAGGCCAGGCCCCAGCAGCGCTGGTCTGGTGGTGGAGGAGGCGGGTGTTCTGTCGAAAACTCCAACGCCTCGAGATCTCCAATGACCTCACTTTCGGGTACTTGCCAGTAAGGGGTTTGGCTGAGTAGGTTCCACTGCGTGGGCGCCACCCGCGGCATTTCCCTATACACATACCAGGAGTTGGAGTTTTCAACAGAACACTGGGCCCCTGCAGCACCGGTCGGGTGATGGGAGAGGCCGGGCCCCACCAGCAGCAGCAGAAAGTAACAGGAGCTGTGGAGAGGTGCAGGGAAAGGGACCCTGACCAGCCCACCTGAGACCCTGCAGTGCCCACCATAGAGAGCCTTAAGATGGGCTGTGCAGGATCTATAGTGGGCTCTGTGTGCCTCTGGTGGGTCCAGCGCGTTGCCTATCCCAGAGTCCAGCGCGTTGCCTATCCCAGAGTCCAGCGCGTTGCCTATCCCAGAGTCCAGCGCGTTGCCTATCCCAGAGTCCAGCGTGTTGCTTATCCCAGATACAGCCAGGAAGGATGCTAGGAGTGGGCCAGGTGTGTGGTCAGCGGACAGGGTCACCATGCCTTCAGACGCTGGACCACAGGCTGCCTCTCCTGATCTGGGAGACTTGGGCACTGGAGGAAAGGCAAGTTTTTATGTGGGAAATTCTCTCCTGCCTATCCCTGCTTGTGTGGGGGAGCCTGCTTTGGCAAGCAGCATCCAGGCTTTTCTTGGGGGATGCACGAGGTGTGGCATGTGGACAAGGGCACGAGGGCTGAGACAACCTTATCTCTTTTTCTCCACAGGTCAAAGCCCCTGATGATAAGCCCCTTGCTACAGCTACTACTTCTAGCCCAAAGGGTAGAAGATGCGCCTCTTGCAACCTCAAGCTGTCGCCCTCTTGGTCAATGCCCTTGTGCCAAGGATGTGTAGAGAAGCTGGTATCCAAAGAGTCAACTGGCATGTTTAAGGGCCTTATGGCTACCATGAGGGAGGAAATGGTCTCTACATTTCCATCTTTCCGGTCTGTCATTCAGAGCACAGGGCCTATTTTTGGGGGGGCAAAGCAATCTAGGTCCCTCAGGTGAGGGTTGCTCGAGTGTCTACACTGGCAGTGTAGCCAGTGCAGAGGCTCCCAGTGATTGTTCTGATTCCCCACAGAGTCCAGATGATCAGTCTGAGGAAGACTCGGAGGTAGATTTTGATGAACCAAAGAGGACCAAATACCTGTTTCCTTCCTTTGAGACCGGAGAGTTGCTAAAGGCCATTTGGGATACCTTAGGGTTGAAGGAAGAAATGATCGAGCTCTCGGTGCATGATAAAATGTACAAGGGGCTTCAGACCCAAAAGGGCCGCACCTTTCCGGTACACAAATCCCTGCAGGATATGATTCAATCTGAATGGGAACACAGAGAAAAGAGGATATTCTTTTCATCCAGTCTTAAACGCCGATCCCCCTTTGCTGAGGAGGACGCGGCAATTTGGGACAAATGTCCGAAATTGGACGCGTCACTATCTAAGATCTCAAAACAGTCGGATTTGTCTTTTGAGGATATGGGGGTTCTGAAAGACCCCATGGACAAAAGGGTGGAATTTTTGCTCAGGAAAGGTTTGGAGGCGGCTAGCACTGGGTTCAAGCCTGGCCTCGCCATCGTGTGTGGCCAGAACTTTGGACATCTGGCTTGCGCAGCTGCGGTCACAATTGGAAGGAGTTACTGAGAGGGAACAAATCTTTGATTCCCTCCCTCTCCTGAGCCAGGCCATGTCCTACATAGCTGATGCTTCTGCAGAGGCCGTTAGATACTCTGCGAGAACTAGGGCCTTGATAAACTCGTCCAGAAGGGCGTTAAGGCTACAGATGTGGACTGGTGACGCAGCCTCCAAGTCGAAGCTATGTGGATTGCCCTTTAAAGGGGATCTGCTTTTTGGACAAGAATTGGAGACTGTGTTGGACAGGTCTGCAGACAGAAAAAAGGGTTTTCCCCTGCCCAAGAAACAACAACAAAGGAAAAAGTTACCAGGTACCAAACTCATGTTTTCAATTTTATATATTAAGTTGTAAGAGTGTTAGTAATAAAAGTGGGTCCACTGAAGCACCCGGTGGGAAAGCCAGTGCATGGACTTGGTGGGAGGGTCAGTGGGTGGACTCAGTGGAACAGCCAGTGGACAGGCCTATGGTGTGTTGGTTGGAGGTGGCAGGGGGCCCAGGGCTAAAGCTGTGTAATGGACCCCAAAGTTTCTGATGGCAGCTCTGGGTGCAAGCAATAGCAGAACACACACAGATACAAATCTTACATACAATCTGGTGCACTCTGAGGGCTGTGTAGCAGCCAAGCAATTAACACACACTTCTGAGATTCCTCAAGCTATCCTACAAGCTAGAAATACATACATGTATCCATGTACAGTACATATTCTTTCTGTATAGAGAATATATTAGAAAAATAGAAAATAACTTTAAATGAGCCAAATGTATAGAGTTCTGGTGATTGATTGATTTTATCTATCTGTACAGGTTATTGATGAGCCGGGATTTCGGTGAAGTTGGTCTTCATAAGCAGAATTGAGTCATATCGGAGACAAGCCATCTACGTGATCTAAGTGACTAGAAGGGTTTTCTACAGTTCACTGGAAGATTCACACAGGACACAAGACATATCACACAGGACACAAGACATATCACACAGGACACAAGACATATCACACAGGACACAAGGCATATCACACAGGACACAAGACATCACACAAGACAAATCACACAGGACACAAGGCATATCACACAGGACACAAGACATATCACACAGGACACAAGACATATCACACAAGACATATCACACAGGACACAAGACATAGCACACAAGACAAATCACACAGGACACAAGACATATCACACAGGACACAAGGCATATCACACAGGACACAAGACATATCACACAGGACACAAGTCATAAAGGTTTTAGATATTCCGCAGCATCGATCCAACATCAGAGGACAAGAGAAGTAATTTCAGTGTTCTAGAAGTCGCAGTGGCTTTACAGTGAAGTCAAACCCCTGAACACAAGAGAAGTCAGTTCAGAGGCCAATTCTTGTTGGGAATCTGACAAAATTTTTACAATGGAGGCAAAGCTCATCAGACATCAGAAGGTTCACAATGCAGAGAAGCCATATCAGTGTTCTGAATGTGATAAAGCTTTTATATGGAAGTCACAACTTATTTCACACGAGAGGGTTCACACCGGAGAGAAGCCGTATCAGTGTTCTGAATGTAACAAAGCTTTTAAAACAAAAGCACATCTTAATGTACACCAGAAGACTCACACTGGAGAGAGGCCGTATCAGTGTTCTGAATGTAACAAATGTTTTGTATTGAAAACACAACTTATGAGACATCAGAGGCTTCATAGTGGAGATAAGCCATATGAATGTTCTGAATGTGGCAAAACGTTTAGAGAGAAGCCAATACTAAACGCACACCAGAGGATTCACACTGGAGAGAAGCCATATCAGTGTTCTGAATGTGGCAAAGCTTTTCAAAGAAAAACACATCTTAATGGACACCAGAGGATTCACACTGGAGAGAAGCCATATGAATGTTCTGAATGTGGAAAAACATTTAGAGAGAAGACCGTACTAATCAGACACCAGAGGATTCACACTGAAGAGAAGCCATATCAGTGTTCTCAATGTGACAAAGCTTTTAAAACAAAAGCACAGCTTATTGCACACCAGAGGATTCACACTGGAGAGAAGCCATATCAGTGTTCTGAATGTGATAAAGCTTTTAAAACAAAAGCACATCTTATTGTACACCAGAGGATTCACACTGGAGGGAAGCCCTATCAGTGTTCTGAATGTGGGAAAGCGTTTAGAGAGAAGACATTTCTAATCACACACCAGAGGATTCACACTGGAGAGAAGCCATATCAGTGTTCTGAATGTGACAAATGTTTTTCATGGAATACACAACTTATTGCACACCAGAGGGATCACAGTGGAGAGAAGCCATATTAGTGATCTGAATGTAACAAAGCTTTTAGATTAAAGTTACAACTAAGCAGACGGTTCCCACTGGAGAGAAGACATTTCAATGTTCTAATTTTTGACAAAACTTTTAAAATGAGCTCAAAGCTTATCAGACACCAGAGAATTCACAATTCAACTTCAGTTTTAGAATAGTGATGGGCCGAACACTCCCGAGTTCGGTTCGTATTTTATCCTTCCAAAGGCCGATAATGTTGAATACAAACTCAATGCAAGTCAAAGGGGCTCAAACGTTCGGAAATTATTGTCTCCCTTAACCCCTTCGTGACTGACGACATACAGTGTACGTCGCCAGCATCGGGGCTGTTTAAACAGACTCCCGGTGACTTTTGCCGCCGGGACTCTGTTTAAACTTGTAGAGCCGACTGTCGTCTTTACAACAGAACCGATCCTGGCGACTTACCTGTCGCCAGATCGCTTCTGTGTCCCGAAGAAGGGGCCGCCCCCCCC